CGGCACTTGCAACACAACAGGGTCAGACAAGTACGGAAATTAGAAGTGTTACAAGAGAGTAACAAACACAAAAAGAAGGAGGAGATATCAGGACGATAAAGAGATGTTTGATAGGATAGAAGGAGTAAAGCACACCATGTACCAGAGCATCCGCCGACAACCTGCTTACAAAATTTGTGTAATTAAAATTGTAACTACACATGGTTTAGAAAGTTGACGGTTTCGACCCTATCTGCCAGGGACATCTCGGGTTGAGGGGAATATAATATACTAGTTGGGCGCCCTTTCGTTGAAAGGAATGATCGGTGCATGAACATCAACTGAAAGTCATTGGCCTACTATATTTACACTCTACTGGAATTGAGCAATAAATCCTGAGAGATGTAACACATTACAAGGTTTTGACAGATCTATAGTGATGTATAGATTGATTCTCTATTCCGCTTTCGTGGTTGTACACTCCAGAATTTCGAAGGTGTGGAAACAGTGCGCATGGCTATTGAACGGAAACTTTACTTGTTTACAATGATGGCGTCTTAGAAGACAGACTTTCCCAAGATTAAATCTAAACTAAACTAATGAAAAACTTGAAAATTAAACAACAGTGACTTCAGGCTCCTCAATAGAACTGTGCCCCCTTTAAATGATTCTCAACCAACATTAATTTTGTCAAATTCAAAAGTTAAGTGGCTCCGAAGTTTTAGGCGGCCAAAGTGACGAACTTTCACAAATATAATATAATGTATCGATTAAACATCCCAACAAAAAGACGGAGATACTCGCAGGAATCCAGCATCTTTTCCTTCTGTCTGCCTCTGCCTCTCTTTCCATCATACTTGCCTGTTTTTACAATATTCTCCGATGCTTCTTTCCGCATTGTGTGTCTAAAGAAATTTGCCTATCGCTTTCTTATATTCGTCATAGGCTGTCTTCTACAATTTGCTTCAACCAAGACTTCTTCATTTGTTTTTCTAGCGGTCCATGGGATACGTAGCATGCGTCTTATGAACCACATCTCTCGCCACAATTGTTCTTTCCAGCTGTTTATTGATTGTCCATGCTTCGCACCCGTATAATAGCATTGGCTCGACGTAACTTTTCAGTACTCTTTTTCTAGTTTCCAGTGACAGATTGATGTTTGTTAGTATCTGTTTCATTTTGAGGAAGGTTGCTTTTGCTTGGCAAATGCGGCTTTTAATTTCGGTGTGACATCTCCCATCTGATGATATAATGGTCTCTAAATATTTAAAATGTAGTACTCACTTGAGGGAGGTATCATAGATTTTGATATTGCATGTTTGGGTGGGAGTTAATCTGCTTATCACCAATGTCTTCTGTGTGCAACGGCCAATAATTAAGCGCCTAACCATTACACAACAGTCGCCGGTATTTGCCGTATATAGGCATGCCTTGCCGCTGTTGCAATGGAGGAGAGAGAGAAAGAGAGAGAGAAAGAGAGAGAGAGAGAGAGAGAGAGAGAAAGAGAAAGAGAGAGAGAGAGAGAGAGAGAGAGAGAGAAAAGATACAGAAGACATCAAAGTAGAGTTCTGAAATATATTTTATGTTCTTATTCATGTGGAACAACTTTTCATGACTAGATGAACAGCTAACCCCTTTAATTGCAATGGCATACATTACTGCAACACTACCCCCCCCCCCCCTACATCCCATCCCTCATGCTCTGACACCCCTGGTTGAAAAATAAATTTAGGCGAAAAAAGGAGGGGTGGGGGGGGGGGATACTTTTTGCGCTGAATTGAACAAATTGTCTGCGATTGTAAGGCATATACCTTTTCTATTCTTAGCTACATCTAGTCAGTATTTCGACACAAAATTGGCATCGTTCAGTTAATTAGGTTTACTGAGGATGTTAACCTACTGGATCTTTATCTATTTCAGGGAAATTGGTTTCTAATTCTGACTAACTGTCTTTGCAAAGCTTGAGAACTATATAACAACAACAACAACAACAAAAAAGACTTGCAGGTACCATCCCTTGTAATTTTAGTCAGAACTATACAGGGAACAAAAGAAATACTGTTCTCATCCCAAGCTACTGTCACCAAAATTCGTATTCAAATACTGTACAAATCAATTATGATTTCTCGATACGGAAAAGCTTGAAGATTCTACATAATTAACAAACATATTTGTAAAAAAAAAATAGCACGTGCAATAAACTTTCTTCCTGCCACGATTCTGTTGATCTTTTTCCTTCTTGTTCTTTATTGCTCTTTCTTGTTCTTTCTTTTTTCTTTCTTTGGCAACATTTCGGGTTCTCCGATCTACTGATTTCAGCACTCTAGATAACCTTAATATATCGTTGGTACGAAACGGTTGCGAAGATGCCGCAAGGTTCAAGAAATTAAATGCTGTACACCAGGGTTTTTTAAAATTGCATTTGTCCCCATGTTTTGTCCATTTCATTTTTCACGACTATTTTTAATCCACAATAGTGGGAGGTTGCCGGGTGCTCTGGTGTGGTTTGCTCCTTCTTTTTTTTTATCAAACATCTATCGTCCTTACCTCTCCTCCTTTCTTGTTTTGTTTTTGTTTGTTACTCTTTTGTAGCATCTCTAATCTTTGGTATTTACATTATGACCTAATTGCATTGCCAGTGCCGTAAAACTCTTAGTAAAACTTTAAAAATCCGCGATGTCATAAGTTGCCCAACGCAATGTGTTACGAGGCAGTAGCGCCCCTTTTAACATTTCACAAACGGCTTGAGTTAGATAATATCTTTAAAATCATGAAGATTGTGCATTCAAGTGGCAAACGAAAAAAACACAACAAACCGCTAAACAATAACACACACATGTACGAAACACACACTAACTCTCTCTCTCTCTCTCTCTCTCTCTCTCTCTCTCTCTCTCTCTCTCTCGCTCTCTCTCCCTCCCTCTCTCTCTCTCTCCCTCTCTCTCTCTTGCTCGCTCTCTCTCACACACGCACAGACAGACACACACACACACACACACACACACACACGC